TAAATATAAATTTGAATGATTAAGCAATTATACGCACTCCCTTATTTTTAAAGAACCAATCGTATTTTTAGTATTTTAAGAAAATATTTAATTAAGCGTATAAACTACCACATATAATACAAATATCACCATATTAACGTCTTTCCACATTTTTTTTTAAATCAATTATGTATAGTATTTTTATTTTCAAAGAAATTTGTGGAAAGACATTAATTTAAATCAAGGATATATAACACAATTTTTTTTTCAGAAATCAGCAATATTTAATTCTCATAGATTTACATTTAAATTGGTAACCTGAATAATGTTAAGAAAAGTATGTAATACTTCTGATTGATATATTTAAATTGTTCTAAAAAAAATTGTGTGACAAAGAGCATCCTCAAGTCCACAAAGAACTACTTGAGAAAGACCTTTTTTCTCTTGATTGCTTGCTTAATTAAAACAAATATTTTTGAGTAACTGAACATCGATACATTTTCAAGGCTATACATGTTATTTTGGCGCTATGAGTCTATTTAACTCAATTTCTTTGTACTTTTAAAGTACATACTTTAGTATGTAAAGGCCTGAAGGAAGAAATTCCTGTTGTACATGCATAGGCGCTTGGTTTCAGGATAGTGTATTTTGTGTAAATGTGTTTTTCTAGGTGCGGCTGAATACCCTCATTAAAATAAAAATAAAAATTCGTTGAAATTAGCACGTTTTAAAAATGTCATATATATTTTATATGTACAGTGAATATGACATTTTTGAAACGTGCTAATTTAATCGAATTTTTATTTTTATTTTAATGAGGGTATTCAGACCTAGAAAAACACATTAAACATTATCCTGAAACCAAGCCCCTATGGTTCCATGGGATACAACTTACTATGTTTTAAAAACATTTTCGAGGGGCGGGGGCTATCAAATAAATCAATATTTCCTAATTGAAAAACAAGAATCATCAAATTTGTTTTTTGTTTTTTTTCTTTTTTAGTTACCTATGTAATTTATTTATTTATTTATTTATTAAGGTCTTCCGTTTCCAACGGAAGACCTTCTACTGATTCTGATGGTAAAGATTATTATTCTTTTTTTTTCTTCTACTTCCTAGACCGCAACTGTGAGGCTTCATATCTCACTCATTTCTCAACGGATTTCGCTCAAATTTTCAGAGGTTATAGACGTTTCTAAACTCTACCAGAATGCTGACTAAAATTTCAAAAAATCACTTCCGGTTTTGAGTTATTTCCCTTTAAACGAAAATTTATAGGCTTTCGTTTCCGGATAAAGGCTCAGAGACCACAAAAGCTGAAGCAGAATTTTTACTGATTTTTGGTAACAGAAGGATTGAAGTTGTGCACATCGGTTTTTGTTTTTCGATTTCTGTATTAACAATGGCGCTATATAGGGGTCAAAAATTAGAACGCCTTAAAGAACGAAAATTTACACATATTTTCCTTTTTATCTTGAAAACTAAAAATATTTTGTTAAGACATAATGAACAAAAGTTGTGCATAATTAGAAGGGCTTTCATATAATAATATTCAAAAGGGGCTGGCCCCTATAATTAGGGCTCTATGGAACTTGAAAGTTTTTGCTTTATAACTCAAAAACGGTAAATATTTCGATCTAGATCTTACGAACAAAATTGTTCTTTTACACCTTTTTGATCTGATGAAAATGCTGTTTTGTTCAATTATGCCGGGAATATTGCGTAAGCAGGCAAGGTAAACAGGTAGCGTTTTTCCGATTACATTCACCTTGTTTGTTTACAATTATATAACACGCCTCCCTCGATAGCGCGGGGCAAAGTCCGTCACCGGGAATCAATCGACGGGTAATCCAGCGACCTACAGTTATACACAAATAAAAACACAGAATGGTTAAATTCATTTTTTAATATATAAAATTGCATCTTGATACTATCTCTGTCCTATGAAAATATTATTTTGTTTGAGTCTTATGTATTATAGGAATGAAAGCTAGACAGTTCTCATCTTGCTTTTGAAGGAAAACTCTGTAGTCTTTATGCCCAGAATTGAAGTAAACTTGCCCTAAGTAATAAATATTTTACAATGCTGTATCATATCTCTTTTATTTAATTAGGTTCTAAACGTGTTCTTTGGTTCCCGTTCAGAGTATTCAATGGCATCACTTTCCTTTTATTAATCAAGATCTTTCCAAGAGAAAGAGTTTTAGAAAAACGCACGAGTATCTTTTCTTCGTTAAAATATGAACACAAACAATATGAACGAAAACCATACACGCCCGGATCTCATAAAAAGAACTTTCAAAGAGTCAAATAATACAAAAATTATTGACTGCGCAATTCTCACATTCACCTGGAACTCAGATTTTAAGTGTGTTGACCATCGCGTAATCTTGCGATTACACGCGTCCAAGAAAATCTAAAGCGACACGCCGCGGCGAACCTTTGACCCCGAAGTCATTGGCAAAATAATTGTGTATTAAAACCATTTCACAATTATCACAATTAAGGTAGTCCGATCCTCAGGTATATAAAATTAGCAGTTAAGTAATCAAAAATACTCATAAAAGTATCTCTGAATCCACAAAGTTATGTAAATTTATCCACAGTATATCTTTAAATTTAAAGATTAAAATTAATCATATTATATAGGGAAAATTATCAAATCTCACAATATTTTTGCAGAAAAAGCGAATTAGAATATCAGCAATGCATTTTATAATTGCAAACTGATCAACAAATACATTTTAGGTGAAAAAACGATAGGTATCCAGGCATTCAGAGACATTGTCATGAATTTCATAGTTATTTGGCAGTTTTTGTCTTCTATTTCCGTCATGTATTCTATAGTACATAGTGTAAAACGCTTTTGCTATCATTGAAAGACACCACAATTCACTTTTCATTTCATATCATGCTAATAATCATTGGTATATAACGCTGGAATCAAGAAAACCTTATTTCTCTAAAACTATATAATTTTTTTCTCCTTTTATACGGTACAAATGTCAACTTTTATAAGATCTTTTCTAAGACTTCCAAAGACCTTGAATCTTATAAAGATGAATAAAATGAAAATTGTTGCATGAAAAAATTTCATTTTCAAGCTTCATTTTGATGCATTTCAAATTAAATATTAATTTTTGGAGTTATCCTTCCTGGCTGAGGATCGGATATCCTTAATGGAAAATTATCATTGTCGGATATTTGAGATTAATATGTTCATATAATGTTGGCTTATCTTCGTTTTAAATTTGATCGTGATACATGTTTATCTGAAACAGCTATCTTGGTTTTGTGTTTGTTTACAATTACGCGACCAACCATTCTTTCCATCGCTTGTTGATATTAATTTACACAGCGTGGTCGAATGTTAAAATCTTATTTTACAAACTTACGGAAAACATTATTTTCTGTAAGTAAATAGAATCTTTCAAAAATATTTTAAAATATCTTAGGTTTGACTTTAGAACAAAACGCTGGGGTATTTATTTTACATGTACATTAATCAGTCTTCAATTTTTATAGTTCGTTAGCTAAATGTGTAATTTTACTTTCGTTTTGACGATTCATAGCGTAAGGACTGGCGATCTGCGGTTACTTTACTTCAACCAATATTGATTTAAATGCACCAAAAGCGACACAGGACCTTGTTTTATACGGTCTCATCGGTAGGACAGGTCCCCACGTCCCACAGTGGGATTCGAACCACGACGTAAGGATCAACTCCTTACTTCGCTACCATAGAACAGACGCTCTAATCACTGCGCTATGCGGGCGACCTTGGGAGATATAAAATGAAAACAATGAAGAAAACCGTTAGTAAAAAATAAGAAGGGGTCGTTTTATTAAGTATTATTCTTACGAACTTCAGGGCAAGAATGAGAAACCATATTTATGAAAGCTTCCTGATATAAAAAAGATTACTTTTTTTCAAATCATGACTAGAGTTTTCCCTTGCAAAGTGTTTGTGTATTTTTTTTTGGGGGGGGGGGATATTGTGGATGGAATTGGAATTAAACGGTCTGTTTAACTGTCCATATGTCTGTCTGCCCTTTCAAGTCTTTCCCAGAAGGTCAGGCTATAGCATAAAGAAACCAGAAGCTTGTACTCGATAAAAAGATTTCAAGTGATCCTAGGATGTGTCATTGTATTTATTCAAGGCAATAGTACGGCAAATTCAAGGTCACTGGAGAAAGAATTAATGTTTTGTTGCATTCATTTATATGTAATCGAGAATAGCTGTAAGCTCATACTTGATACAGAGATTGCTTGTGACAAAAAGTTTTTTTTTTACGATTTTGACTCAGAAAACAGTATTTTTTTTCATTCTGCCTATATTTGTTTAAGTCCATACTTGATACAAATTGCTTATAGTCCGCTGGTTTTCAGATGACTTAAAATATGGTCATTTTAACAAATTTAGGGCCAATGACAGAAAAGTTGTAAAACTCCTGTCAGGGTTATGAATTTCTAAAAGTTGTTTCAGATTGAGGGTTTGTCTTGACAAAGAGCCAAGGTTATTCTGTTAAATTCAAGGTCACTGACAGAAGAAATCTTTTCTTTTCCACGCTATGAACTAGTTAGTGAAAATCATTGGAGGCTCTTGAAACATAGATTACTTATGATTGGAGGTTGTGTCATGACCCTGATCAAAGGACTTTCTGGCAAATCAAGGTCACTGACAGAGAAAAAAATGTTTAAGCAAAACTTTGTAATTAAGATTCACTGGAGGCTCATACTGAGAAGAAAGGTTGTTCACATTAGAAAGTGCAGTAACCTTGACCCAAGGTCTGTACTTCCTGTCCACAGCTCCAACGGAAGACCTACTCGTTGCTTTGCAACGAGCTCGGCTCTAGTTTATTTATTTATTTATTTATTTATTTATTTATTTATTTATTTATTTATTTATTTATTTATTTATTTTGCTTGGGAATGTCCTACTCTTAGACTTGGCCTAAAATATTTCCAAATCGTGATATAATGGTCTAAGGGAAGTAACTCAGATTTTGAAAAAGAAATGAACCTTGAACCGGAAGTATTTTACAGCCTCGAACTGACAACAACCAGCTGTCGATTGTCATTCTGTCACTAGGAGAAAATTCCCTGAAAAGGAATATTTCCCATGGTACCGGAATAGGTGATGGAGAAATCGAAGAGTAACGACCAGCCCCGCTGTCCGTGTGGATTTTGGGGGTATCACGCAGAAGAGTCTGAATCACCACCGTGACGAAAGCTGATCTCGGACAGGTCTGGGTCGCTAGGATTTTATTGGTGTGGGTTGGGACTTGTTTTGTTGAATCTGCGCCCATAATTCAACTATTTTGCAGAATAGTGAAAAGAAATAGTGTGATACAACAAGTTGATACGTTTTAGTTTTTATTTAAGGATGAAAAATACTTGAACATCCGGGCTTGTAGCTTTATCAATCAAATTTATCAGATCAATTCCTCATGACACAAGTTGGGGTAGGCCTGCTCTTGTTGCAGGGTGATTACGTGTTACCACCGCCCGTCAAAAGACAGAAATGGTGCTAGGGGGAGAGTTTGCGATAAAATGCATTTTCAAGACTAACCCCAACACGGAGATGAATAAATGTGTACTATATATATTGACATATCATAATATCTGATTATGCAATCATTGTTTACATTGGGATTTTTATAGTCTAATGATATCAGTTTTTTTCATATCATGTATTTATTTTTTATTATGATTTTCTTGTATTATGATTATTATGATCTTCTTTCAACATGGTGAATAAAACTATTCTTTTTTGCATTATGTTACTGAAGGACAAATACTCCTCATCTTGGCTCATAATGAGAGCTTAGACTATATAGTTTTTTGTATTTGTGTGAATATGAGTTTATTTGCTATTAACTTTGTTTATATTTGCAGGTCTTCCAGTACCCTTGGCCTTTGTTCACAATGTTACAAATGTAGGTTTTTGTGTAAGACTTAATTAACATAAACTGAAGTGTTATCAGTAAAATTCTAATTAACAAGTATCAGTTTACATCATATGTGAATCTACTTGTTCTTGCAAATGCTAAAATTAAAAAAAAAAATGTGTTATTTACGGGTATTATCATATCTTAAAAATATCTTCATTCAGAGCTCCAGATAAGGTGCGTATTTGCGTAAATACGCATTAAATTTTACATATTATGCATTGAAAATTAAAATAGAGCGTACAATTATGCATTAGCAATCATAGATACGCATCACATCACAAAAGTACTGCATACAACAATTTGAAAAATACAGGTACGACTTACTTAACGATACGAATAGAGGTTAACTCCGTGTTTGATTTTTCTCAAAACGATGTACAGATTAAAAATCCTTTTAGTGACCAGGAATATTCTAGTATTGACGACGACGATCTCCATATCAAGAGATTTAGATAAAAATCAATTTCTATGTAGAAAGACTATACACTTGGTATATTTTATTTTATTCTTATGGGTTCATAGCCAATTTTTCATCTCTCTCAACTTGCCATATTAACGAAGATTCTTTTCTCTCTCGGTTTACTCTTGATACAATATCTTAAATGAAGGAAAAGTTCTCTGACTCTATGGTACCTTGACCTTGACCTACTGTACAATCTTCCTTGTCAAAAAAAACAACAGAAAGTCTTGTTGGTATTTGAAAAATTTATTTAAATAAATACAGTAACCGAATTTTAACGTTTTTTCCTTCTTCAAAACTTGAACTTCAAGTACAAGCTCAAAATTAAAATAAACGTCAAACATTATAAACAAAATAATCTGTAATCATTTTAATGAAAATCAAAATCTGCATTGATTTGAAAATCAGGGAGTAAATACACTTTAGGGTAAAAAATTATCTGGAGCTCTGTTCATTTCTTTTTAATTTCTATTATGAAGCAGAAAATGATCAATGCTCATATTATTTTTTTTTAACAAACTTCATGAAGTACAGCTTCAGAATTCTGATTGTTACTGTTTCAGCACACATAGAGAAAACCAATGATGCATTACAGACTACACCAGATCATCTCATTTCTCCAGGTTTGTATTCCAGGAGAAAACAAAAATTGTCACAGAAATTGCAAGTTACACTGAAAAATGTCTGCATTGTCAAACTGATTTGTCAAAACCTGGGTTTGGCACAATGAAAAAATGCTTGTATTGTCACATTGAAAAATGCGTGGTCACTGAAAAAAATGCCTGAATTGTCTCATTGAAAATTATTATCACAGTAGAAAATACCCTCAGTGCTCACATGAAAAACAAACAATGGTCATAATAATCCATGAGATTAATTTTGTGAGTTGGGGAGCAATTCATGGATCAGTATACGTTACGGTTATCCTTTTGGTAGCTTTGTTTCCTTGAATCATAATATGATATTTAAAAATAAGGTAAAAATAGTTTACCCGATACCGATTCTGCTATCTTGCATTGATCAGAAGACGTGAAGTTTCTCCATGCTTGGTTGTCACACGAAAAGAGACTTCAGCATCATATCAAATACAGCTTGTTTTGTCACAGCAATTTATATTTGTAAGAAGAATTTTCCAACAATGGCTACAAATAATGAATTGATGAAGTTCATGGCTTGACAGATAAAACATGCATCAAAGTCACATTATGTATATAAAAGTAGATAAAGCATTTCCAAGTCTTGCTTCAGTCTGTAGTTATACCCCCGCTCCGAAGGAGAGGGGGGTATACTGTTTTACCCTTGTGTGTCTGTCTGTGTGTCCATCTGTAACAAATTTTCATCGCAGTTTTCTCAGCAACTACTCATCGTAGATGCTTCAAATTTTAACACAATCTTCTCTGAGGCATACCATATGGTGGGATACATTTTTGTTCAAAATCGATGTCAACTTCCTGTTTGTCTGTGCGTCTGTCCTTTTCATACATAACAAATTTTCATCGCAGTTTTCTCAGCAACTACTCATCGTAGATGCTTCAAATTTTAACACAATTTTCTCTGAGGCATGCCATATGGTGGGATACATTTTTGTTCAAATCCGATGTCAACTTCCTGTTTGTCTGTGCGTCTGTCCGTTTCATACATAACAAATTTTCGTCACAGTTTTCTCAGCAACTACTCAATGTAGATGCTTGAAATTTTAAAACAATCTTCTCTGAGGCATGCCATATGGTGGGATACATTTTTGTTTAAATCCGATGTCAACTTCCTGTTTGTCTGTGCGTCTATCCATTTCATACATAACAAATTTTTGTCGCAGTTTTCTCAGCAACTACTCAATGTAGATGCTTGAAATTTTAACAAAATCTTCTCTGAGGTATGTCATACGGTTGGATAGATTTTTGTTTAAATCTGATGTCAACTTCCTGTTTGTCTCTGCGTCTGTCCATTTCATACATATCATAGCAGATGCTTGAAATTTTAGTACACTCTTTGTTGAGGCATGCCATATGGTGGTATTAATTTTGATATGAATCTCATGTCAACTTCATCTGCCTGTAATTGAACTTGTGTAAACAGTATATTAACATGATGGTGCTTATTTACATCAGAGTGGGGGTTTACTAGTGAGCATTCGCTCACAGATTCCTTGTTTTAATTCCATTTTGAGAAGGAAGGTTTTTAATTTTATCTTAATAATGACAGGAATTGTCACTGCCATCACTGTATAAATTTGATTTCCTACCGAAGGTTTACATTTTAATACAAATGTTGATTGATATTGTTTTAAGCCGAGTCAACAATATTTCAGCAATTTTTGGGGGGAAAAGAAATGTAATAACTTTACCATAATTTATCAAATTTAGGTTAGGACTGGATTAGCAAGTAACAACTTTCAAATTATATCAAGAAAAATTACTAACGATATAGGCTTTTCTGATAGAGAGTAATATAACTGTATATTGTATTTTGTTAAGTATTGATTTGTAAAATCTGTATTGTTTTTTTTCCTTAGAAACTGCCAGACAGATGAAACAAAGTGGACACAGTCATATGGAGGGTGCAAAACAAACCAGCCATAGCATAAGTCTGGAGGGAGGCAAAAGTAACAGCAGTTCTCTCACAGAGAGCCAATCACAGCCCTGTTCTTCCCAGCAGTTAATAAGTGAGAGCTTAAAAGACTCTAGTGTTTCTAAGGAAACCAAGGATTCTGAACAAAGTTCTGAAAACACTCCCTCAGAAACCGGATCCCCCCCTCCCCAGTCTTCCTCCAATTCACCAGCTCCGGATACCCCTGAGAAAAGGGGGGTTAAACGGTACGTAAACAATAGATACACATTATTTGATGCAGAAATCAAGTTTTTGTCAGATGATGATCCATAAATTGAGCAATTTAGCAATTTGATCTATTTTTTTTCATTAGATTTTTTAATGTTACAATTTCTGAAAAAAAAATTTTGTTTAATGATTTCCAAGAGCATCCAAATGATTATTAATTGTACTTTTAAAAAATTAAAATATCATGTTTACAACACTTTTGCAGTGATATATCAGAAGTGGACAAAGAAACGGAAACTCCGGAGTCAACGCCAGAAAAAGGACAGAAAAATAAGAAACGCTGTTACCAGTGTAAATGTAAGCTGGAGCTGGCTCAGAGGCAGATTGGCAGATGTAAATGTGGTCAGTATAGCGGGGTCATATGTCAGTGGACTGATATCTACTGATATTGATATGTATTATGTGTACTGATATCTACTGATATTGATATGTATGTGTTTTAATATTAATGTAAAGTGTACCAATATCTACTGATATTTTATCTTTCAGTATAATGATACTGATCAGTGGGTTATGATATATCAGTAAATTGATATCTACTGATAATCATCTATTTAGTATATTGATATCTACTGATACCGATCAGATATTATATCAGTATACTGATATATTGGGCTAATACTATTAGATTTAAATTTATCTACTAGTAATTCATAAAAATCAGCAGATGTAATAGGGTAATTTACTTAACATCAATATAAGTATTAAGATTACATACATTGTACATGTATGTGTTAGACAATAGTTGCACTTGTATTGATTTTTTTTTTTTTTTACATACTTCATTAAGCTTGTGTTCCCATTACAACAAGCTAATTAAATCATGGCTTCTATTACAGATTATGTATTCTGTTCTCTGCATCGTTTGCCGGAACTTCACAATTGCGAATTTGATCACAAAGAGGACGGGCGAAGAGAAGCGCGGGAAAAGATGGTGAAACCTACGAGACACTTAGGAACGTCATTCCAGAGGCTTGACCCTGATTCTTGAGTCGTTAGCTCCGCCCACTGACGGCATTAACCAATGTGTTTTGTTTATATTTGAATATTATGTAGGCTGCAGTATTAACAAGGCAGCCATTAGTTTCATTTTTTTTTTCAAACAAATATGCAAAATGATTTAAAGAGAGAGAAAAAAAACATTGCTATAAAGTGGAAGAAGAATGTGGTAATTTTTTCTTGGAAGATGAAGTTGTTGCTTTATAGACTTGTGTAGCAATAAGTAAAAGGACCTCTATGTGATGAACTACTGGGAAGGGTCTACAGATTTTATATAGAGTGCTGCCATGGTATTTTTTTCAATCTTTATGTTTTACATGCGTCACAGAATCCCTTTTTAACCCCACGCTGATTTCTTGTTTTTACCGTTCTCCAGTTTTACGTGTATGATTTTGTCTGGCTGGCTGTCCTCAAAGAAAATTAGGAAATTTTCAGAAGTGTCATTGTTATAGTGTGGATGAAAGTGAAAGATTTTATGAAAGTGATTCTAATCTTTTACTTCATAGTTGTCATACTTCACCCATTTTGTGTGTCTGATAGTTTGAAGTTTGTATGATTATGGTATGAATTCATATCGACTGATATTAACTGCATCTTGCTTTTCTACAACTTAGGTGTCATATTTTGTCATACACAACGTAATTTTAAGTCCATGCATTTAATACTGATAATAATGGAATATTAGTAACTTTTTAGGGAATACATTTATTTTCATCAATATTAAAAGTATTTTTTTTTTAATTTCATGTCAGCAAAATCAGATGGGACTATTATGAATTTCCAAACCGGACAGATTAATATTGCCATACTCATGGTACTTTAAATAGATGTTTTATGATATTTCAAAAGAAATTATGATTTAAATGAAAAAAAAACATTTTGGACAGAAATCATGTTGAGTTAAGATTCTCCTGAATAAATACTGAGTTCCTTTCAAAGAATCCAAAAGTATAAAAAAAAAAGTATTTCCCAATTGACTCTTCAAGTAAAAAAGTATTTCCCAATTGACTCTTCAAGTAACAACCCCCCCCACCCCCCACCCCACCCCACCCCCCACCAAACATATCAAATTATGCACCTGAATTTTGAATTTTTTTTCTTGTCCCATACCAGTAGTATGTTTATGATATTTAAATATTTAAACTGTAATAATTTGAAAGCAATAATTCTGAAATAATAAAGAGGATACATAATGTACAATGTATTGACAATATCTGTAGAAGAGATATGTAACCTTGGTAGATAAAACCCCCTTCTTGGAAGTCTAGCAGACTTCAATAAATTCACAGAATTAATTAGAACTGTATAAAAACCCACCACTGCTTTGGTGCTTTTTAAGCATTATCTTGGAGATGTGTTATTTTTTTCCATGACTTCCAGAGAGGGGAGATAACCTAGTTTTGTGGTACAGCAAGAATTATACGTATATGTGAGCTAGTGTTAAAAATGTGTGATTTCAGATTGAATGCATGTCATTAAAGAGAAAATTTATATAAAAGTCAATCTCATTTATTTGCTTGTGTTTTAATTATTTTTACCAATGGTTCAATTTAATTAAAATTAGATGTTAGATCCGCTCACATACTTGCTACATTAAACATCTAACATCATCCAAAAGAAAGTCACATCAGAGTTCACATTCTTTTAACCAATCAAATCTTTGCCTGCAAAATCATCGTATATTTGTTGAAGCTAATAAGTCTAGAGTTGTTCAGAATTTGATCTTTGACGTGACCTTCTATGGGATGTTGTTAGATGTTAGTGTAGCAAGTATGCGAACAGATCTAACATCTAATTTTGATTAGATTGCCACTGGTTTGAAATGTAAAAATAATTGTTCTAAGGATTTCATAGTTGATCACGGTAAAACAAGCTGTTAGCAAACACACTTATAATGGAATGATGCTTAGACTTAGAGTGAAGTGATTTTTATTCTGCATGATTATAAGAATGTATTTTTATCTTAACACCTGTTAAAACAAATTAGGCTTACAGAGAAGCAAAATTGTCCATCACCAGCTCTTCCCTATAAGTGTTTTATACTGTATTAAATAGAACCCGATACTTAATTCTTCTTTAAAGGATAACTGGTTCTTGAGGTATGACATTTAACCAAATAATTATAAGCACATGTCATGGCCATAAGATAAACTCAATGGATCAATATTTGTCCAAATTTTTAAGATTTTTCACTCACTTGGAGACACCATCATTTGAATATACTGTATACAGGGTTATTTTCACCTTTAGAGATTTCATTTTTGCACTTGCAAAGAATTTTGCCCTGTTTTAAACTTGCCCAGTCTTAGTTCTGTTTACAAAATAATGCTGTGTTCTTTGAACTCGCCCCATTTTGAATTTGCCCTAATTATAAAGAGGGCAAAATTAAAACGAGGACAAAAATTTCCCTGCATACAATATATATCTATAATAGGCACCAAGAACCATTGAGCTGTGAGGGATCTTCATGGGACATGGGACCTTGGTTTGTTTTATGTATACCCAACTGTGTTGAGTTGATCAAATTAACATAATCATGTGGCATTGTGATCCAACTTTCCGGATCACAACACTGATTTTCGGAATCCATATCTCCTCTCTCTGAAACAGATGACATAGTACAAAGTAAATGCAACATTTTTTTCTTTCACATTAAAAATTCTTTCAAAAATTGATGCTTCACGTCTCGTTTGACCTGATGATCTGGACTTGTGGATCAACCCGATGTGATATAGTCCCTTGGATCAAGTTACTGTCATATATAATGATAATACAGTCCAACTTTGTTATCTTGAACCTGATGGGACTGAGAAAAAACTTTGAGATAACTGGGGATTTGAGATATCGAATGTTTAAAGAATATGTAGTTGGGACTTCCAAATCACTTCGACATATCCATGGTATTTGAGATATTGGAGTTTGAGATACTAGTACCAAAGTTCAACTGTACTTATACAGTATTATCCAATGCACTGATCTCAACATCAGAACAGAAGCTCTATAACTACTGCACCATGAAAATACCAAATTTTTTTGGAAATTATATATCATGATAGAGGAGCTTGATCCAAAGAGCCATATCATATCTAGTTAGCGGGCGCGGGAGATTTAACAGACATGACGTGTAATGTTTGATCTGATGATCTGTGGCTGTCGGTGTGACCGACTCTGTTATAGTCATAAATTTAGAATTTATTATTCGCTAAATATGAGAAAGCTTTTGGGATCGATGATTATTAATCTTTCACTTTTTATTTATAAAATAAAACAATTTTCAATGAATTTTTGATATGTAAAAAAAATACCATGTATATACTATGTCATCAGTTTTTAGGTTTGATATTTGATCCACATCATCATACTGTGTTGTGAGGATCACATGGGTTCAATCCCTGCTTGCCAGAAATTTCAGTTGGTAAAGCACCTGGCAAAAATTTCTAAGTTCAAATCCTAATCTGATCCATTCACATTTTTCGTCTCCTGATATACATATACAATAAATCTGGAAATTTTGCTGTAGATAAATTTTAAGCAAATTTGCGAGTTCATTGCATTCCCAAAAATATTTTTCTTAAAAATAAATTACCAATAAGAAAATGACAACAAAGCAGTGGTCATTCGCAAAATTTTGAAACATAAAAATTAATAACAGCATTTTGACCCAAATTCGCAAAATAAAATCAACGCAAAAATTTCCAGATTTACGATATTTGGTGCCGTGTCATGCCCTGACAGTGAATGAAGACAGACGCCAGGGAAGAACCTAGGTTGGTGTCTTCAGGGGCAAATACCTGTATAGAGGGAGGAAGAATGTAAAGGATAGATAGGTTTGATCGCAGCCAGTGGCAAGATTGATAGCTTAGTTGTTAGTAATCCTTGTTGAGATTCTGCTAAGCTAGATTTTTGGACTGACACCGTCGCGTTGGAATTTCAGTCCAAATATATAGCAAAATCTCAACAGGGATTAAGTTGTTAGAGCACCTGACTTGAGATTCCAATGACCCAGGTTCAAATCCCAATCTGATCTGATCTGCTCACATCCTTCCCCCTGCCAGTTACAGTATAAAATGACATCGGTTTGCTCCACATTATCATTTTGTGTAGCTGTGTCATCAGTTTGTGGGTTGAATAACTCCACAAAACTTATACTGTGTACCATGTCAGCAATTTCTGGGTTGGATATTTGCTCCAGATGGTTATACTATGTACCATGACATCAGTTTCTGAGTTGGATATTATGCTCCACACCACAGGCGCTTGACGTTTTTAACCTTTCTCTTTATCAATAAAAAATTTCCCTTCTATAATAATAAACAGTAGGGAAATTTTTTATTTATAAAGAGAAAGGTTAAAAACGTCAAGCACCTGTGCTCCACACAGTTATACTGTTTCTGGATTAATTTCATAGTTAACTGTAACTAAAGATTACAAAGTTGTCCTTGGTAAATATGATAAAGCTATAAATAAATTGTTAAGTCTTTAATTTTGGTAAACTTTTAAATACAAATTTAATTCCCATGGTACAAAATGAAGAATAATATTTCAACACTTTGACAACAGAGATAAATGAAAATTTAAGACAATCTAATCACACATTCTCTCTATTCATCTACAAAACTGAAGACTTCCACTCTCAAAGAGACAAAAATGAATAATCACATATTTAGAAAGCTACATGATAAAGCCACTGGTTGATAAATTAGCACTGCATTTTTTTTAGAGTTCATCATTTCTCTCGATTCCTAGAAGTTCCACCTCAAATATAAGTACAGCTTTGGCTGAAAAGAAAAAAAATTAAAAGTATGACCTTTTAAATTCATTAAGAAATGTTTTGGTCAGGCACATTAAAAAAACCCATTATTTTACATAATTATAAAGGTAAACTCGTCTAATCCAGAAGCAGTGTACTCTGAGATCTTGCCTAATACTAAATAGGATGTAAACATTCGGCCATGCAAAGTTAATTACTTGGTTCTCAGGCCTTTTTTTCAAGAAATATGATGAGGGAGGGAGGCATTTTTTTTTCTTTTTTATTGCCCCCAAAACATGAGGAGGCAGCTTTTTACATTGTACAAAACCTCAAAAAATGATGAGGGAGG